TCCACATTCATTTTTACTTTGTGCCCATAAATCTGGATAACTCTGTACAATCTCTTTAAGTTCAAGGTTATCCCTAGTATTAGGCCATTGCATTTCTGTAGACACTACATCTACTGGACAAACAATTCCTAGCTCCCCATATTCAGTAGGATCCAATAGCACTGGTTTCCTACCCTTAGCATCTTTCCAAATTGCTTTGTTTCCCAAATCTACAATCCAACCTCTTTTTTGCATAACATCTGTGCCTATGATATTATCAACATTTTTGCAGTACCAGATGTCAATTTTTGTTTTTAAACGCTGAGGTATTTCTAAAGTGACATTATTTACTAATGTTGCCATAGATCCTCCACTTCTGTCAAATCCTACAATTGTACATATAGGTGCACTTGGTGATAAAGGTAGTTGTAAACTAGTTATACTTAACTGAGCACCTGTATCAACAAGAAATTCCGTGTCATAACCTTTTAAAGAACATTTAATGTATGGTCTACCACATCCATCTAAATTTAATGGAGCCAAAAATTCAAGTGGACGTGGCCTGATTCCTTTAGATTGTCATTGTGAATTTAAAATTTGGTCAGTCTGATTAGACATGTTAGAAATCACACCCTGTCTGTCTCCTGTGTTTGAGGAAGCTACAATTTCTCTCACTTGCCTTATTAGAGGAGTATATGGTGAATCTCTGGTGTTTTCTACATTAGGATTATTGTGAATAAATCCATTTGATTTGCCATAATCCCTTGATTGTAAATCATGAAAATAATTCCTGCAGTTTCTCTTTATATGACCTGGCTTGTTACAATAGAAACAGACCAGACTATGTGTCGAGTTTCTTTCATAGTGTGAGTGGGGCATATTAAAACTTGGAGCTTCTCTCCTCTTTGTCTGAGTTCTAGCAGCTGCAGGAGGCGAGGGTGGGGGGGACTTCCTGTGTCTGGGTTTGTCCTCTCCCCTTTCTCTCCTAACTGCACAGACAGATTTTTTAATATTTTGTTGTCTGGATTCCCTTCTCACCCTATCTAGAAATGATGCAGCATCTTCAATATTTTGACACTGGAGAGCGCATGCAATTGATATTGGATCAAGATATTTAAATTTTTTTACAAATGCATTTACCATAGATTTTGGTGTCTGATCATCAGGAATACTCATTACCAATCTGTATGCACGCTCAAATTTTAAAAGGAAACTGAAGACATCTTCATTTATATTTGGTTTTAAATTTTCTAAAATCTCGATATCCACATGCTCATTTCCTGTTGTTAATCTTATTAATTGTGTCAATCTATCTCGCTCATTCCCATGGACTATTTCACCATCTTCATCATTAGGGGTACTAATGGGTGGGGTCAGTCTACGTGCAATGTATGTTGGCAGCCATATTTTAAACAATCTGTTCCTTTGTTCGTCATTCAAATTATGTTTCGATAAATTAGACTCAAATATGTCTGCATTACCAAAGGCATCCATTGATGGATTATATGGGGGAATATCTTTGGTAACTTTCATCAGCTGCTCTTGAATTTTTAATTTAAGTTTTGCAGCCTTATCTAACAATTTTCTACGTTGCAAATCAGCCTGGGATGATATTTCTGTGACATCAACTTGCTCTGGTATCAAATTATGATCACTCCTTGTAATCACACACAACTGTTTAGCTTCAGTTCTAAGTTTACAAATTAATTCAGATTTAAGATCCAGTTGTTCTCCCAAATCATAAATACTTGCCTGTAGTCTATCACAGTTAGTACATTTCATTTCTGTTACACATACAGATTTCTCTTTACTGTCTGTCTGTGTACTTTTTAAATCTTGCACTTTTACTTGTGCTGGTACTTGTAATTTTGTTGGAGCTACTCCTGTTCCAAGGATCATTGTGTCAAATGTTTCTACCAATTTTAAAACATTTCTAATTTTCTTTTTTGTTTTATTTAAACATAACAATTTATTATCAATAGCTGCATTTGCTTGTTTACATTGCTCATACAAACTTGCCCACAATTGACTATCTGTATGGCATCTATCAAACACAAAATCAAGTTTACTTTTCTCTGCAATATCAGTAACAAAATCCATTATTACTCACCAGACAAGATGATCTTTAATGCACGACACCGTCTGCTTTTACTCGTACAGCTGCGCAGTGTGGATTTGCTTCTGGAAACTTGCCAATCTCAGCCACGTGTTTGCTTCTAGATTTCACGTTGTATCTTGTGCTGCTTTCTTTATAACACGTGCTTTTGTCTGTTGTAGAATATAATCTTGGAACCGTCTTTGTGATTTAAAAAAACCTTTGTCTTCTAATAAGCACACACAACTCTTAACACAGCTTTAAACACGTTCTTTTTTCTGTTTCTGCCTGCACACACTTCTATTCAACACAAAAAGTAATTCGATATCCGTGCTCTCTCTGCTCACCTCCCCCTCTGAATAGAAGTTTGTAACAGCAGAAAACAGTCTGGCTGGCTCGTCAATGTAATAACTGGCTGTGTTTTTCTATAGTTGAATAAGTCTTGTATGTATATATATATAGATATTTCTTCTTGTCTTCAGTTGATTGATATATATACGTCTTGGGCCAAATGCTCGCCACAATAATATATGTCTATATTATTGAAAATTAGTAATACGCAATCTGACGTTCTTTATAAAAAATGAGTATTTATTCTACATTCAACAGGAAACAGTTATATATACTTAACAGATGGTAATTCTTAACGATGTTACAGAGAGTCGTCTTGACATCAGAGAGGAGAGCAAACGGATCGTAGCAGGAAGAGAGTGTAATCCTTTGTCCTTGACTCTATATACCCCAAATTACGTCATAATGTTTAGTTTAGACCCTGCCATATAAGGAAGTTCCCTATATAAAGACCGCCTCAAATCTCTTATACAGGAAATTCCAGAGACCTCATATTACAGAGTAGCAAACACCATCTGTTCTGTTTAACCCATTAGACAGCCACACCTTAATATGTATTTGAATAGGAACATACAGAATATGCAATATTCTACATACTGATAATATCATCAGTGAAATGGCAGTTTGTTTTAGAGCAGTAAAATGTATTATAATGATAAACTGCCATTATGCAGTTGTGCCTTATGCTGTAATGATTTTATACTGTAATGCATTAAAACTGTGATGTCTTTAAACTGTGGTAAATTATGCAGCTGTGCCTTAGGCTGTGATGCCTTTATACAGTGGTGCCTTTAAACGTTGACTTTTGCACCTTGTTGCCTTTTAATTACCTTGCAGGCACTTTTACTTTGTCTTGTGCTTCCCCTTGGTCCCAGAGATTTATTCCCTAAAATTTACAGTAAACATCCCAAACCTATTTGGAAAGTATTTGCAGGGTCTCCTGACATGGGTAAGTGCTGTTTTCATCCAGTTTTAAATCTGTTTCTTGGTAATAGAATTTGACAGTGCCCTTTTTGAATTTAGTACTCTGTGGTAATATTTATTTTTAATGTATTTATTGTTTATTTGAAGTCTGAATCTACACTACGTTCTGATTCTGATGGGAATGCAGTGGATGGAAAACTGTTATGAATTGACTATCTTTAGAAGGCAACCTTTTCAGCATCACCTAGACCTGCTCAGCCACAGGAACTGTTGGCACAGCTTACACAGGAAGTTGCAAGGTATTGTCTGAATCTACACTATGTTCTGGTTGTTATGGGAGAGCAGTGGAAGGAAAACAGTTATGCACTGACTGTCTCCAGAAGGTAGCCATTTCAGCATCACCTATACCTGCGCAGCCACATGACATGCGTGCATGGCTTACAAAGGAAGTTCCAATGTATTTTAGAGGCCTTAGGGGTAAGAAAAAGAGTCCAAACTTTACCCTGTGGAGGAAGGTACTTCCACCCCCCGGACTACACCACCTAAGGTGGTTGCACCAATTTCCAGGGTAGCCTGTGGGACGATGCTACCGCTTGACAACTCTGCTTTTTTTTCAACTCTGCCTTTGGATCAAAAGTGGACGCAGGCCTGTCCAAACTTATACGCCTGTCTATGCAGGATGTCATCCAGCTGTAGCTTTCACTGCTGTTTCTAAAACCATGAAAAGTGTGATTAAAGATTTAAAGGCTACTATGGAGAGAGATATTAAGAGCCAAGATTGAAGATGCAGTCTGAAGTCTTCAGGTTACAACTGACTTCTTCACAGAAGCTTTCCTAGATGTAACTAGGATATTATCTCGAACAAATGGCTGTATCTATAGCTGCTAGGAAAGCATTAAGGTTCTGTTTCTGGGATGATGACACATCCTCCAAGTCTGCCCTCTACACCATTCTATTTGAAGGGAAGCTGCTGTTTGGGAAAGCTTTGGATGAATCCATTAAAATGGCGGTTGAGGGCTGCAAGGTATTTGTACCTCAGGTCTGAAGATCCAAGAATACCAGCTCCTCATGGTCAGACAGGATAACCTCCAGTGACCAGCATTTCTGAGATACATTGAGTTACTGACCCTGCAGGGAATACTCCAGAGGTAACTCATGACAGTTGGTAAATCTGCCTTTCAAGGTTCTAATAGAGCTATGAAGCAGTCATTTTGCTCTTCAGCAATGAACTTGTGTCTGTCCTCCAGTACTCAAAGCCTTATTTTTATAATATTCACCTCTCTTCTGGTGCTGAAAGAAAAGGTACATGGAAGCCTATACTGGACCTAAACAGGGCCAACAAAAGTCACAATCTTCGGGATGGAGTCAATCAGATCCATATCTCAGGCAATTTGGAAGGATAATTTCCTTATCTCTATATATCTCAAGGATGCTTACTATCACATTCCAAAACCCCTAGATCTTCAGCATTATCTCTGAAGGGAACTTCCAATATAGTGCCCTACCATTCGGCCTCACGGCAGCCCCAAAAACCTTAAATGTGCTTATAGTGATATTGAGAGTCCAGAACACCACCTGGTTCCATTATCTGGATGATCTACAAAAGGTAGGCAGAACTCCTGAAGTTTGGCTGCTTGATGAATATCAAGAAATGCAGTTTCACACCAGCTCAGAGGTTGACATTTCCAGGTGGAAAATGCTATGCTCTGCTTTTTCCCTATCTCAGGGACCGTTTCACAGATTGTGGAAGTTTTCTCTTCCAGTTTCTTCATTTTTGCTTGGTAACAGCAAGAAAGTATATGCAACTCCTATGAATCCTGGTTTCCACCATCAGACTTGTCAGATGGTCCCAATTGCATCTCAGGATTCTTCAAAGGTTCTTCCTATCTTGGTTCCACAAGAGAAAGATGAATTGGAGCCGGCCACTGACAATGTCACCGTCAGTGGGGTTACACCTTACCTGGTAGCTGAAAAGAGAGAATATTTCTCTGTGTTTCAAGTGAACAGAACCTCATTGGTCAATTATAAGCTCAGATTCCAGTCTTCAATGATTGATTGCACAGTGTTTGGGCCATGTTACACAAGGTCTGTGGATAAGGGAAGGCACAGTATTACCATTCAATTGGATGGAATTACAAGTCATTTTCAGGGCTCTTCTTCACTTCAGAGGGTTGCTGAAGAACAAGTGGGTCCGAATCATTAAGGTGGGTCTCACTGCCACTTATTGATGAGGGAATTACAGCCCATGATGATCAGGGCACAGAAAAACAACCAGGGGCTCAGAATACAATGGCTGATTACCTGAGCCGAGTAACTGTGGACAAGGTGGAATGGCAACTATGTCCCGACGTATGCTCAGGGTTGACTCAGATTTGACTGATACCCTACGTAAATATGATGGCCATTTCTCGGAACTACAAGGTCCCAAAGTATTTTTCTAGATTTTAGGACCATAATGCTCAAGGTCAGGATAACCTGACTCAGATTTGGAATTTTAGTCTGATGTACATATTTTTCCTGATTTCAACTTTCCTAAAGGTAATTCAAAAGGAGACAGTAGTGATGTCCCGAACGGTTCGCCGCGGACGGCGAACATATGCGGTAAACTTTGACCCTGTACCTCACAGTCAGCAGACACATTCCAGCCAATCAGCAGCAAATCCTCCCTCCCAGACCCTCCCACCTCCTGGACAGCTCACAAAGAATGCAGCTTCACAATGAATGTAAAATGGATGCTGTCCAGGAGGTGTGAGGGTCTGGGAGGGAGGGTCTGCTGCTGATTGGCTGGAATGTGTCTGCTGACTGTGAGGTACAGGGTCAAAGTTTACCGCATATGTTCGCCGTCCGCGGCGAACCGTTCGGGACATCACTAGGAGACAGTGGAAGGACAACGTCGACTCTAAATTCCTATGATGAATAAGATGAATCTGGAACCTCCAAGGGAAATTCCAGTACGTCGAGACTTTTTACAAGGTCCCTTGACACACCAAGATCATCAAGTTCTGGTGTTGATGCGGGAGTCTCTATAAGTATAGGGATCCCTGAGAAGGTAATTGCGATCCTCTTACAGTCCTATAAATACTTTACAAAACTTAGCATGCATTTGTCTGTTGGTCTCGAGAATAGAGGTTGGAATTACTCCTCAATCAGGCCTAGAAAGGGTCTGAGCTATAACACTCTAGAGGAGCACATATCTGCACTTTCCACTTCATGTAAGCAGCAATTAAACTCAAGCCTCCACTGAGTGTGTTGAAGCCAATATGTGATCTACCACTGGTCTCATGGGCTCTGACTAAACCATCATTCGAACCTCTAGCAGGAGCTTCCATGGTGTTAGCACAGAAAGTTATGTTGCTGTTGCCTGGCACCTCAGCATGGATAATATGTGAAATCAGGCTTGGTCCTGTGAACCCCCATTCACTAATTTGACACAGGATATGGTTGTCTTGCATTTAGCTACAGAGATTCTGCCTAAGGTGAAAGCTTATCTCTAACTGTACCGAAGGGAACCTGTTAAGAACGCTGGTATTTCAGATACCCGTTTGCTTCTGGTTCCTCCTGAACTGCTAAAAGCTGAGTGATTATAGCTCGCAGTTCGGGTATTAATTCAAATGTTCTCCAGTAGAGAATGCAATATCCAAGTAAATTCTCCCAGCAATGAGACACATACCCAAACATCAGCCTAAACTAGATGAAGGGTACAACCGTAATTGATTTATTCAGGCCAACTGGACGGTTTATATCCAAGTTTGTGGCAGGAGCATTCCCCACTGGACCTGAGCGGGGACTATGGCAAAGTACACACTGTCATTACATTGACTCTCAGATCCAGGATACTCCCACAAAAAACAAGATAATCCCTCCCCTGTGCCTGTGAGATAATTGAGTCAGGAACTGTACTAAACTCAATTATCTCCAGACACAGAAAACATATATTTAATAACACCCCAAATATACCCCTAAAACACATGAAAACCCCACAACAGTCACATGCACTGATCTTCTGATATATGTTGAATTGTTCAGATTATTTGATTGGCAGTTATTTACATTTCTGTCCCTCCCGTTGTTAGTTTGGGTATTCCCATGATGTATATGCTGCCTTGATTAGCCAGGAAAGTGTAAAATGTATTCGAACTTACCGAAAGTTTCTTTTCTTGGCTATTATTCATGTTAACATATACTACCCACCCATCAATGTCTCTACTGTAGAGCTTGTTACTGTCTGAGGACCTTAGGAATGGAGCCTCCTTTTAAAGCCTTTGGTGTTTTTCCCTGTCCTATCGGCTGAAGGGGCGGGGCTAACCTATGATGTATATGCTGCCGTGAATAGTAGCCAGAAAATTATATATATATATATATATATATATATATATATATATATATATATATATATATATATATTGTGAGCGTAAAGGTGGAATAGTGGTTGATGGGAGATACATCAGACCTGATTTGCTAAACAGCAACCAGAGGATTTTTCAGTTAAATGCCCCAGGGAGAGATGTTAAAGTTTGCAATATGCATAGCTGATGCTCTGCAAAACATGGTATGGGTCCCTGGGGCGGAGTATTTGGAGAGCAGGGTGGGCCAATGCTCCAACAGCACTAGTTGCTGTATAACAGACCACAGCTTGGATCTGATTTTCAGAGTTAACTAATTGGCACTCACCTGTAGCTACTCAATTAGTAGACAGGCCTTTAAAAGAAGAGAGCAGCCTGCTGCAGAGTGAGGGAGAAAAAGACAGCTAGGAGAGATTGTGTTTATTGCAAAGACATTGCTTTTGTTTGGAAAATTGGTAAGTGGGAAAGCCACCCAATTGCAGATAGCAAATACTGTCTAGTAAGAGCTCAAGTAAGAGCAAGGGATTTTGTTTGTTTTTGTTATTATTTAAAGTACCTGCTTTCTTACTGAATAAAAAGGAAAACTGAGCTGAAGGTGTCCTGGACTTTGTATACTCTAGAAGGCTGTGGTTACTGCAAGATCGGTGACAATCCTACCTGTAAAAGAGGTGGTTTGTTACATATGGTGGAGAATGCGGGCAGCCACGTAAGCCTGAGGGTAGAAGTCATTTAAAGCTCAACATGGAGGATGTTATCAAGGCTCTGATCCAATCCACCTCTGTGCAACAGGAGACTAACAGGAGAGCTGCAGAAAACAGTGCAGCCCTGCAGCAACTGGTGCTGGCCCAGGCAGAGTGTGCTAAAGTCCTGGCCAAAACACAAATGGAGTGCACTGAGTCCTTGGTGAAACAGCTTGTTGTGACACAAGCGGAGATGTTTAAAGTAGCCCGTGAGGAGCAGCAAAAAGTCACCCAGGGACTACAACAGGAAATCCAAGCTATCTCTGAAAAACTGAATGGAGACCCTGATGGAAGATACCAGGGGCCAAAGGTGATTCGGGCGAGCCACTATCTTCAGAAAATGACCGCATCAGATGATGTTGAGGCGTACCTTCTGGCATTTGAGCGCACTGCTGAGAGGGAGGGATGGCCGGCTGGTGAGTGGGCAAGCATACTGGCACCGTTCCTAAGTGGAGAGCCGCAGAAGGCATATTATGACCTAGAACCAGCCGATGCAAGTATCTACAGCAAATTGAAAGCTGAAATCTTGGCACGACTGGGTGTAACCTCTGCAGTACGTGCCCAAAGGTTCCACTCATGGTCATATTCTTCAGACAAAGCCGCACGTTCCCAAATGTTTGACCTCATACACCTTGCACGGAAATGGTTACAACCTGAAATCCATTCAGCTAGCCACATTGTGGAAACCTTAGTAATGGACCGGTTTTTGCGTGGTTTACCAGCTTCCCTGCGTCGCTGGGTCAGCCAAAGTGACCCCCATACAGCTGACCAACTGATTGCCTTGGTGGAAAGATATGTGGCTGCAGGAGAACTGCTATGTCCTACTTCACAGGCAAACCCTCGCAATCCTAAGCCCCAAGATTCTGCAAGACCTGGTAAGACTGTTCAAGGTTTAAGGGGAGCTGAAGAACTGCAGCTCTATACACAAAACACCAGGGGGGCATCCAGGTCTAATAGGCCTGGGAAAGGAACTAATTGGTGGTCAGATTGTACTGTCAAATGTTTCAAGTGCAAAGAGGATGGTCATATGGCCAAAGACTGTCCATTTAAGGATGAACCTATGGAATGCAATATGGGCAAAGATGAGGGAACACGTTCATTTTTGCTCAGTTGTTATGGTACTGTTAACAATGACTATGATAATAACGCTCATAAATGCTGTGTAACTGTGAATGGAAAAATGTCTAAAGCATTACTTGATTCAGGTAGTATGGTTACGTTGGTAGCAGAGTCTATAATACCTTGTGTAAAACCTGATCATGTACAGAAAATAGGCATTATCTGTGTTCATGGTGATAAAAAGGAATACCCCACTGCGGAAGTAAATATTGGAACCCAGTATGGGGATTTAAAGTACCGAGTGGGTGTAGTACCTAGATTAGCCCATGAGGTAGTGATCGGTAGAGACTTTCCTCATTTTCTAAAATTATGGGCAGCTTTACAAAAGACAGACCAAAATTTATCAGAAATGAGTCAGTCTTTCGAGGATAATGTGTTCCCTTTTTCCAATATTGACTTGAGTTTTGACCACTGTGACGGAAAAATAAGAAAAAGGAAAAAATACTGCCCTAAACCAGTATTAATAGGAGATAACCCAGCTCAAACTAGTGAGGAGCCTACTAATACTGCAGACAAGGATAAGGACTTAATTGATATTGGAATTAGTCCAGGTAACTTTAAAAGCGCTCAGTGGGAAGATCCCACTTTAGTGACAGCTAGAAATGATATTAAAGTTGTAAACGGGGTTGCTAATCAGCCAGGAGAAGCACTGCCGTTCCCCTATTTTGAAGTACAAAATGACCTAATTTACCGTGTAGAAAAAAAGGATTCAGACATCAGTAAGCAGCTGTTGGTTCCTCAGACTTACCAGAATATAGTGCTAAAGTTGGCTCACAGCCACATATTAGGGGGACACTTGGGAGTCGAAAAAACTAGAGAGAGTCCTTAGAAGGTTTTACTGGCCTGGAGTGTTTGCTGCTATTACAAACTATTGCTCCTCATGTCCTGAGTGCCAGTACAGGGCTCCTTTCAAGACTTTTCGTAGTCCACTTGTACCCTTACCCATAATTGATGTGCCTTTTGAAAGGATCGCTATGGACTTAGTGGGGCCACTGGTAAAG